TTTAGTAGTTTCCCACAAAGGAAGACTGATTCTACACTCAACAAACATGTGTAAGAGATGATATTTTTCCTTATTACAGAAAGAGCATTGTTCATACTTTACCAGACCAATCTTAAACAATTTTACATTGGTGAAAACGATTCTATGCATAAATGTAAACTGAAAAACATTAATTTTATTGTCGATTGGCAGTTTGTGAAGTACACACAATATTTATTGGTTATTCTATTTCACTTACATCAGTACCAATACGCTCCACAATGGAATGATACACGTTGTTACAAGTTTTTTTTTTTTTTTTTGCATTTAAAAAACAGATTCACACCTATAAATATCAACGTATTCATTAGTTATTTTCGGATTTTCTTTGAGTTTAATTACCAAAGTCGTTGGGACGGAATGCCGGATTGCATTATACAGAAGAAAATCAATTTTAATTTGATACTTGGATTCTAACTCATTTTGTAGAAGGAAAGACCCCTCGCTATGTGTTATATCTTTTATTGTGCGAATACCAGCATTCCACCAGTGACTTTGAATTTTAAAAGCTCTATTAACAAAACAACAATTATTCCATAACACTTGACATCCGGGTTAGGTAAAAAATGATATTCACTCCAGGCTGATAATACATCTTTATATAATCCATATAATCCATGGTTAAGAATACCGGACTTAAAAATTTGCATGTGAAGATATTTCTTCCACCGATAGATTGTAATTCAGAGGTAAAGAAGGTTTTCCACTTTGCATCACTTTCATCAAGGTAACGCTTAATCCAGCAAATTTTGAGAGAATATATATAGCTTAGTATATGTGGCATCTTTAATCCTCGTTTATCAAACTCATTGTATAAAGTTTTTCTTCTTAATTTATCCGGTTTTCCATCTCAAAGGAGGCAAAAAACATATTTTGTACTCTGTTGATAAATTCTGTAGAGGGTATTGGTTGATTTGAAAAGTTATACGATAAAATCGGTAAAGTCAAAGACTTCATTATCAGAACTTTTCCAATTAAGGATAGATTTCTTATTTTCCATGTTCTAAGAACATTGTCTATTTTGTCTAATTTGGTTTCAAAATTAAGTCCAAATAATTGGTCACTGTTGACAGAAACGTGTACTCCCAGGTATTTTATAGGCCCATCCGTCCAATTAATATTTTTGTTACATTCGACTTTAAAGTTGGTATTATTAAAGGAGCCAAATTTGAGAACGTTACTTTTGTCAAAATTTACACGAAGACCGGAATATTTACTAAACTTATCAAGAATCTGTATTGCCGTATTAAGCGTTTGTTCATCTTAAAAAAAACAAAAACACTGTATCATCTAGTCCGGTGGCTTATGTCATCTCGTGATCATTTTTTTTTTTTTTTATTTAAAATGAGTCGCCAATTTTTTTGCGCTCATCTTCATATGCAAATTAGCTGAAATATGCAAAATAGGTCTGAAAAAGTAGGGTACTTATATCTTGGTAACCACATGTCGTAGAAAGTTGCTTCTTTCTTAAAGTTGTTCAGAACATGCATGTTTCTATCTACCCTAATAGAACATTTTCTTCAAAAATTTTGTCGACCTTATTAGCATAAATATGCAAATTAGGGGTGGAAATATAGGGAGCTATATCTTGAAAACCACTGGTCGTACAAAGTTGCTTTTTGCAGCAAAATGTTTAAAACATGCATATTTATATTTACTATAATGGACAATTTTCTCTAGAAATTACCGGAAATTGCGTTTTTTACCTTTGACCTCAACTTTGCGTGATTGTAATATCTTGGCAACCACTGGTCGTATAGAGTTGGTTTTTTTTAACAAAATATTTACAATATGCACATTTATATTTATATTTATATTTACAGAATAATTTCTCAATATCAACCAGAAACTTTTATTGACCTTTGACCTATCTTTGCAATATATCGGCCTATTATATATACCTAATGATGACTTATGGTCGAAAGCTGTCTCTTATACACATCTCATATTAAAAATATAAATACTGATATCTGTCTGTTTAATTCCTTAGACCGCAAAGAAAATGTTTATGATATATTAGAAGACACTAAAATCGATTAAATAAGCCTTTGAAATTTTCGTAATTTCCGGGGTTTCAAGACTCTTAATTAAAAATCAACGTAACCATGGGGACGTGTATTTCTACTGTTATTTTCTCAATAAATAGGGCGTTTACAGTTAAAAGCCCTTGATTTTTAGCAAAGTATTTTGTGTTTAATTATGTTTCTAAGGTTGAAAAAGTCTTTGTAAAAAATGGCACAGTTCAGATGCCGGTCGGAAATTTGAGAGCCGGACAGGGATGACCGGCGAGGTCAGAAACCCTGTGATAATTATGAATATTTTATTAATATTTTAACAGAATATTATGTTAAAAAAAGAGGTTGCCCGTCGGAACGCACCCTATTTTTGGTTGCCCGACGCAGATATTTGGTTGCCCTGGGACGTCGGGCAGGCGATTCTGCGAGCCCTGATAAATTTGTTAGCCTTGACAATTGTTCGTGAATCAGTAAAATCTTTAGACATACCTCTTTAAATGCTCCATAAATGATTACATTCATAATGCACGGTAGTTATTTTGCAGGATTTTTTTTCTTAGGTGACAGCTACCGGAGCTAGCCCAGCATACTGGCACCAAGATACCTATGTGTGTACGGTAGAGATGGCAACGCCATTTCATCATCTGGAGAGCGCATCTTCCTTCACTTGGCGAAGGATCAACGTATTTTAAATTCAATTGCAAATTGAATTGACTTCTCCGCCCGTACTTTAAATTTTATCATCTCCCATGTTAAATTTGAGTAAAAATTAGCAGAATTGCATTCCGTTTCAGTCTCCGCTATGACCCTTTTAATCGATTGGATATAACTTTCATTTTTAAAATACTGTACGTTCATTTTCCAGAGACCCGGTCCCCGAGGGAGGTTGGAGCTTAATCGACAGGGAGACAAGAGAGTGATAGCTTTTAAAGCCTGCTGATATTTCAATAGATTTTACATTAATATACGGGCGAAGGTCATGTGATTCAAGGAAATAATCAAGTCTACACCGTATAGGAGGAGAGTGATTTGAGTTCCAAGTGAATTATTTCTTGTTTCCACTAATTGTGCGCCAAATGTCAACTAATTCCAGAATTTCCATCATATTTTTAATTTTGGTTGCGCATTTGGGGTGGGTTTGGCCATTTCCGTTTAATTTATCTAAATTACAATCTTAAAATTGTGTTAAAGTCTCCACCTATAACAAGAGGATATTTTGCAACTTCAATAATTTTATCTATCAGTGTAGAGAAAAAGATGTCATTGTCAATATTCAGGCCATAAATGTTAACCAATGTCAAGGGTTTCTCATTGATTACAATATTAAGGACGAGTACACAACCATGATCATCCGAATAAATATTTTCCATTTTACATGTTAAATTTGATTTTAGAAGTATACATACACCTTTTGAATTTGACGTACCAAAGCTGTGATAGATGGAATAGCCCCATTCATTTTTCCAAGATCTCTCTACAGCTTTTATCAGAAGCAGAAAAATGGAGTAAGGCTGATCATGAAACCAGCTAAAGACTGTATGTCTCTTAATGTGGTCTCACAATCCACGAACATTGAGAGAACATATACTTATATCAGTCATAAATAATTGGATTTACACTTGTACAATTTAGGGCTGCAAGTCATATTTGATAAAATATTAGTAAAATCACTTTGGGCAATTTCTCTAAATATAAAAACTTCAAAACTGTTTTCTGAATGTACATACACTGCATGTTATATTTCTTTCCGAAAGATTAATTGAAGTACAAATATATACATATAACAAAAAGACATTTCAGTTTACTTTAATTGCTTTTACTGGTTCGCACATCTACACTTTATTTCAGATTGTCACTACATTTTACGTGGCACATATTTGGTATAATGGTGTATGGTTGGACAAAGTTTGGACAAAATATAAGCATGGAAAGGGATTAAAGTGCCGGACAGAAAAACCCTGTGCAAACATTTGGGGAAAAAACTGTGCAAGAAGAAAAACAAGTTTTCGTAATCTCAAGAGCTCCGATGTGGGCAGTATTATAGAGGCTGTAGAGCATATTGCTCATAACGGCTGCCCATACAAAAAATATATTAATCAACCAGCCGATTGTTTCAAAAGCTCCTTACCGGAGCTAAAACAAAACCAATAATGATGATTAGTTGTAGTTGCAGTTGTAGCTGTCGCTGTCGTTGTTGTTGTTGTTGCTGTCTATCTTACTTGTTTAATAGTGGAATGAAATAAATTAATTCTATATTGATGTGAAGAACTAGTACTGTATATTTGCATAAACAAACAAAATGGTAGTTCTTGCATAAATAGACGACTATTGCTTTTTTTTATTATACACATTGTTACTTAAGGTCTAAGTAACAATATGAAAATTCATAAATTATGATTGAATTACATTTTGCTCAGGAAAAAAGAAAAAAAATGCTGTACAGTGGACATGACATATAGCACGGTACAAAAGCTGCTAGAGAGCTATTGCCATTATCTATGATATTCTATTTATTTGTTATATAATTTATTGATTTTATCCAATAGGACAAAGGACAAAGTGGATTTGTTTCGAAAGCTGGTTCTGACAGGGTGACAACAGGTATATGGATGTGGAGTGAAGTTTTTTTCATCGTTTTACCTGACGGTAAAAAGGTAAGTAAACTTTGGTTTTGCTTTTTAGTTACACATTAATTGGCCTACTTTATTTATGAAATTGTAATTTAGTTTGGTCGATTTAGGTCAAAATTATGGGCTTTTTTGGTATCAATCGATGCACAAGGATGTCCTCTTTAACATGTAAAACTCCTTAAATCCGTAAACGTCAATGATTTCTCAGATAAGATAATACTTCGAGCACATATTTTTAGAAAAATGTTTGAAGGCTTGTAGCCAGGAATCCATATAAGGTATCAAGGATAGCCAAGAGGAACATATACAGCAAATGATGGGGTTCAAAGAAAGGGTACAATGGTGAGTTGGGTGCAAATGAATGAAGTCCAATTAATCTTCTATATGCCCTATGCATTATAGGCAATTGACCATTTGTTTTAATTTTATGAGTCACTGAGTGAGTTCTCCTGGTACATCTGAAAAATAAAACTTTCTTATGATATTTTAACAATTCAGTCAGGATTTTGTTTTGTTCATCAGTCAAGCTATTATTGATTTTAACGTCTCTCCTTGTTTGCGATTGGTGATAACATAAAGCTATGTCTATCTCACCATCTAACTCATTGCCATGGACTGATGAATTTAAATCTACTTCCTCTATGATTCTACATTTGCCACCACATAGTAACTTCCCGCCTGACTCTCAACTTTATCATACCATCTTTTTAACATATTATTAACATGTAATGTTCTCTTTTTCTTTTCTTGTACCTCCCATATATACTTCATAATTTACTTCATTAAGTCTTATGGTAACTGTAAAAGGTCCCTGCCACTTACTATGTAGTTTACTGTTATCTACGGGGAGAAATATTAAAACTTTATCGCCTTCCTCAAATTCACGATTTTTTTTAAAGTTTTATTTTAATTCTGTGACATTATTTCCTGATGTTCTAGTTTATTTGCATTAACATCTTTCTTTAAATCATCTAGTCACTTTCTAATGCTTAACGTGTACTGTATGATATTATTAGATATTTCTACCTGATATCCAATTGCTTTTAATCAGACTTAGGGGTTCCCTGAACTCTCTACTATATAGCAATTCAAAAGGTGAATGACCCGTAGCTGTACTGGGAACTTGCCTGTATGCAAACAGGAAAGGTGGATGTAGTCACAGTAATCATAGTTCTTTCGTTGCTTAGATTCCAATGTCCTTAATCTTTATACTAGCCCATTGCTTTGAGGGTGGTATACTGTTGTTTTTAATTGTTGTATTCCTAAAATTTTTAATTATTTCTTGCATAATGCATGATAAAAAGTTAGTCCCCTGATCATGTACAATCTCTTCCGGCACCCTGCACTGGTAAAAACCTCTATCAAAGCCTGTGCTACTGCATCGGCTCTAACATTACGTAATGGAATTGCCTCAGGGTACCGTGTAGCATAATCGATCAAGGTTAGCATATATTTGTTCCTACGTTCTGTTCTACATAAGGGTCCTACAATATCAATTATTATTATCCTTATTATTAATGTCAAAGATATCTGGCTATGATCAATATTTGTTTATTCTTTATTTTCTGAATGTAAATTGTATGGCCTACCCTTTGTTTTTTCACTTAAACGATGTCTAATATCCATTTTTTATGATCCCTTAATGCAAGGGGAATACGAGATAAACAAAAGCAAATTTGTCTTTTTAAATGGGCACTCGATAACAAAGTTGATATCTTTTGTGTTCAAGAAACACATTTGACCAGAGAAAAAATACAGCAATTTAATTGGCAAGGAGAATCCTACCACAGCTTTAGTTCTTCTCACTCTCGAGGAGTTTCAACTCTGATAAAAGAAAGGCACGACTTTGAAATTACCAAAAGTATGTTCGATAATAACGGTAGATTAGTTTTTGTAAAGGTCACTTTTGACTCATGTCATTTTGTTATTAACATTTAGGCACCAAATAATACAAAGGAAAGAGGTAATAGATTATGTTCTCTCACAGATAATTTTTAGAAGGTTAGATTATGTTCTAGTCACAGATAATAGTATGCACAAAACAATTTCATGTGATATTAGACCATCAATTCTTAGTGACCATCAAGCGGTTTCTTTAAAACTCCAACTTTCCCACGATAAACGTGGGTCTTGACTTTGGAAGTTAAAAAATGAGCATTTAAAGGATAATAGTTACATTGATCACATAATACGTATAGTTAAGCAAATAGAGTCTGACACTGGACAAATGGGAAATGATAAAAATTAGTATTGCAGAATACTCATTTCAATTTGGAAAAAAATAAAAACAAAATAAAAATTGAGAAAAAGATATTTACAAAATACAAAATTTATTAATCCATAACAAATCTGAAGAGCTTGGAACTAGCCTAGAAAAAAAGAAAACGGAACTTGATAATATTTATATTACGGAAGCTAATGGAGCACAAATAAGAAGTAGAATTAAAAGGAGAGAAGAGAGGGAAACTAACACTAATCACTTTCATGGCATTGAAAAAAAAGCAATAGTGACACTAACAATATTAGGATATTAAAAAAGGAAATTGGATCTTACACTCGCAATATAAAGTCTTAGAAGAACAAGTTCAATTGTTTACAAATATCAACGCTGAACAAAACATTTCTAATGAAACAATTAACAAATACTTAACAAATATCAATCTAACCGCTCTTACCGAAGAGGAAAAACATGTATGTGAAGGTGAAATAACTACAGTACTACCGAATGTGAACAAGCAATTCAGCTAATGAATAGGAACAAATCACCAGGTTGTGATGGTCTTACTCTACAACAAATTCTGGCCTATTATTGATAAAATTGTTTGTGACTCCTTAAATTATGGTTATCAGAACCAAGAATTCTATAAAACACAACGCAAAGGCGTGATTAACTTAATTTAAAAAAAAAATGTGATCACCAGAATCTCAATAACTGGCGACAAATCACACTGCTTAACACTAATTACAAAATTGCAGTTTCGTCCTTACAAAAGGACTCCAACATTTTATTAAATCTATTGATAGTTGTGACCAAAAAGGCTATGTTAGTGGCCGGTTTGGTGGTGATAATGTACGTTTAATTGAAGACATTGTGACGGACATGGATATCAACCAATTAGATGGAGCTCTAGTAAGTCTTGACTTTAAAAAGGCTTTTGATACTATTGATAGAAATGTCATGTTTAATACTCTCCGTAAATTTAACTTTGAAATCTCTTTTTTACAATGGGCTTTCGGCACTGTTATTTATTTTGGTTGCAGAAGTATTTGCAACCAAGATAAGAAGTTCTTTAGAAATTGATGGAATAAATATTTCTGTAAATAATCATATTCATGTGGTGAAAATTGCCCAAATTGCTGACGAAGCAGTCCTCTTTCTGAAAAACAAGGAAAGTATCAGAAGCATAAAAGTAATTGGGCAGTTTGGCAATGCCTCACGTCTGAGATTAAACAAAGAAAAAACAAATGCTATATGGATGGGCAGACAAAAAAATATAAGAAACTTACACCAGGTAATATTGCCTGGCCATCTGAACCGATACAAATTCTTGGAATTTATGTAGGACACGACGAAGATTTTTGCTATCAAAAAAATTGGGAAAATATAATGAAACTGCAAGGCTGCCTGGATTGTACGAACTGGGATATTTTCAAAGATTCGGACATTAACACATGTACGGAATCTGTTACCTCTTATTTAAAATTCTGTCAAGATTTGTGTATAAATAAGGTTGTTGTTAAGACCCTAATCAAAACCCCTGGTTTAATAAATCTATTAAGATCTTGATACGAAATAGAAACATAGCTTTTAGATCTAAAGATAAAGAAATGTTCAAAAAAGCAAAATACGAATTAAAGAAGGGGATAAAGAAAGCCAAAATTGAGTATAAAAATAGATTAGAGGAAGATATATGTTCTAGTGATTCTAAGGAATTATGGAAGGGGTTAAATAAAATAACTAATTATAAACGTAAGTCTAGTGTTACTCTTTCAAAAGATAATAATCTTCCCCAGCAATTGAATGATTTTTTCTGTCGTTTTGACACTCTTCTCCCTAGTGATGTTGACAATTGCATTTCTCCTGCTGAAGACAGTCGTCTTAACATTGATTGTCCTTTAATTATTCCTGAAGAGGAAACGTGTAGGGAATTTCGAAGATGCAAGTCAACAAAATCTGCAGGTCCGGGTGGTATTAGTCCATCTCTAGTTAAACACTGTTGCCGTCAGATCTCGTACATCTTCACATACATATTCAATTGTTCTCTCTTATCCCAGATTATTCCGCGTTGCTTCAAAGATTCAGTAATAATTTCAATACCGAAATGTTCCCCAATAATAACTCTTAACGATTATCGACCCATTGCTTTAACCTCTGTAATAATGAAATGTTTTGAACGCATTGTTCTAACATACTTAAAGTCTGAGTGTCCGGTAAATCTGGACTCTTATCAATTTGCGTATAGACCAAATCGTTCTACAGATGATGCCGTATCAATTACTCTGCATAAGGTCTTAGAGCACCTGGAGTGTGATAAACGATATGCAAGAATTTTATATATTGATTTTAGCTCTGCTTTTAACACGATAATACCTCACAAACTGCATACAAAAATGACTAAAATAGGTTTTGATGTATCCATTTGTAACTGGGTCCGTAATTTCCTCACTGATCGACCTCAGTTTACCAGAGTGGGTACCCTCACCTCTAAAAACAAATTATTAATACTGGTGTACCACAGGGGTGCGTCCTCTCACCCTTTCTTTTCACTTTGTTCACATATGATTGTGTAACAACGCTCCATAACTGCTACATAGCCAAGTTCGCTGACGACACCACCATTGACTTATCCAAGATAATAATGAGACATTTTATCGACAGCAAATTAAAGATATTGTAGACTGGTGCAGCAGTAACAATCTTTACTTAAATGTATCTAAAACTAAGGAAATGGTTGTAGACTTTCGGAAAGCTATAAATCCAAAATACCCTATATTTATTAATGATGTCCCAATCGACTTTGTTGAGGAATTTAAATTCTTTGGTATTTATATATCCAATGATATGAAGTGGCAACGTAACGTGCAAACAATTTTTAAAAGGGCACAGAAAAGAATTTATTTTTTGCGTAAGCTTAAATCTTTTGGAATGCATCCGACTATTTTGATGTCTTTTTATAGAGCAGTAATTGAAAGCATTTTAACATTATCTATAACCGTCTGGTTCGGGGGCGCTACCGAAAACGACTTATATGCCCTTATCTGAGTCGTCAGGACTGTAACGCATATCATTGGTTTGGAACAAATGCCTCTGGAAACCATTTTCCATGATCGGCTTCTTAAAAAGGCAGAGGCTATTATGGGCGACCAATCTCATCCTGCCTCAAACCTATTCCAATTCTCCTGAACAATGACAATAAAATATGATTGATTGATTGATTGAAAATAAATTAGTTTCTTTAGAAAATATATTAACAGCATTGGAAAATAGAAATCTAACTGTGTTTGGTATAATTACCATCAATAAAACTCTTGCTATATCAAAACTTTTGTGTAATGCTAGCATACTGGATGTTCCTGAAAATATAATTAAGGAAGGCGACAAAATTATTTTTAAATTTATATGGAAAAACAAAACTGACAAGGTTTAAAGAAAAATAATGTATGCTGGATAAGATCAAGGTGGACTTAGGGTTACTGATTTTAGATCACAGGTAGGAGCCTTTAAACTGAAATGGTGACGATGAAAAATGGAAAATCTTGCCATTATTGTACTTCCAAAATTTTGGACCAATGTCAGTTTAATTGCAAACCTCTCAAAAGTTCCGTTATACTAAAAATTCCCACCTTTTTACAATTCTGTTCCTTACACAACAGGATGATTTAATAAAAACCAAATTACTATTCCCGTAAATTACAACAATATTATGAAACAAATTATCTGGGGAAACAAATTTATATGTATAAAAGATAAGGCGTTATATAATCGAAAATGGATAGAGTCAGGAATCCTAAAAATTATAGATATAGTAGAAAATAATAATTTTATTACTTCACCCACCTTGCCCACATAATATTGACCTGTGATTGGTCTTAATTCAAATGCAGACCTATCTTAAGACAACCACTATCCATAGCAACATTCCTGCTTAACCACTAACTCTAAACAGGAAATGCCTCAATCTTGACACTCTCCCTGAGACCCCTACAAGTAGTTTTATGCCAGGGCCATGACCGATGCTTAGGTCTGCCCCTTGAATTTTTAGAGCCACCACTGGCACGTGTGTATAATTGTAGATGATTATTAATTTATGTATTTCCTTTAGATCTAATTATTAGAGCTGATTCCAATTTTTATCGTCATTTCGATCATATTTAATACAAGTAGGGAATTGGTTTTTAAGAGGAAGCTTGTCCAAAATGGGAGATCGGCCAAACCAATGAGCCACATACTCCTTAGTAACATAATTTAATAGTCTGGCACAAAGGTGGTGCCAGTATTTTCCGGAGTAAAAAGAGGTGACTGACCTTGTCCACGGCTAGAGTGCTAGTAGACGATGCCAGGGGCTGCTAGAACCACTGGAAAGAGATCCAGTCACATCACATAACCTAATAAAATATATGAATGGGGTTAAAATTAATGATCTTTTGATAAAGCAGAGTGGTGCCTCTAGGATACAAATCTTTGAGGAGGGTCGGGGTATAGGTGTGCTAGGCTGTTCACAAGAGATCTGCGGAATCTATAAACAACACCCTGGCAAGGACCCAGAAGAATGTGATTCTAGTGTGTAGGAAAGAATCTAGGCCAGATTGTCTAAACCAGTTTGCTGAGTGCACAATTGCCGAATCAAAAACCATGAATCCCAGTTTGCTGAAACCCAGTTTGTCGAAAGTCAATTAAAAGCAGTGAAACAAAAACAATAGCAGAAAATAGCGGCTTATTTTAGTTAAGATTCTTTTTCATTCATTCTCTAAATCAAACTTTGCTAACAATTTAGCTATTATTTAGCTATTGGTACAAAACCGTTTACCAAGGTGGGCTAACCATGATGCTCAGTTTCGATACAATCACTCACCCTATCGGCGACAGTCGCCGGCAGCTGCCGGGAAGATTTCACATGAGGGTGGGGGGTGCGGGGAGGGTTGGGGTGATTTTGCCGACAAGGGTCAGATTTCCCCGACGAAAGCAAAGTGGTCGATCTTTGATTAAGAGGTTTCAAATGTGGTCCGAGGGCCCAGACGATCTAGGTGTTTCAAAGGCTTATTTCATCGATTTTAGAGTCTACTAGATGATGTAGAAAATACATATAATTTTGTTTTCTCCCCGACGAATTGTACTTTTTCTCCCCGACAATGGGGGCCCTGGCCTCTTAGCTTCCGCTGGCGTCACCCTTTGCTGATTGCGTTTCAGACGAATATGGGAGCATCGCTAGCTGCTCTGACGTAATTAGGAAGGCACCGTACCCCGATTTGTCTAAAAGGCTATTGGCAAATTTGAACCAGACTCAACCTTCCCGACAACTGTCGGCGTTTGTTGCCGGTTGGGTGAGCGATTCTATGGAAACCGAGCTTTACCTGGGATAAAGCGGATTTATGTTTCGGCAGATTCCGTGGTGCTGGTATTGCTCGATGGGGGTTTGATGTTTCAAACTAGGGAAGGAAGGGGTTGGGTGCGATGTCACCGACATATGGCCGATGTCGCCGAGAAGTGCGATGTCCCTGGCGGGAAATGGAGTAATGTCTCCGATGGAAAGGACAATTTTCCCGATGGCAAAGTTGGTGGGGATAGGAACGGCCAAGCACTACTCAGAGGTTGATCTAAAGAGAGCATAACACCTAGAAACTCCCACAATTCATCACCATCATCATCATCATATTGTGCATAAACCTCAAATGAGTATTTTCGCACAGGTTGGTGGTCAGTTATGCTCACTTGAGAAAATTAACGGATGTTAATATCAGATACCCCGTCCTTGAATGTGTCCATGGATTTTGGGGTACATGTTGAGGTAGGCTATACCACAGACGGATGGTGTCTGGAAAGAAAGAATTAGTGATTTGAAATGCTTATTTATTCAATTTTAAAGAATTTTTCCCCCGACAAATTGTGCTTCCAGACATTGGAGAGAGAATCATTAACACCCTGCTCCCCACCACCATTGACGGGAAAATTGGCCTTTCCCTCAGGGATATCACCCTTTCTCCCGTCAGGAATATCGACACCTGTCGGGGACATTGGCCAAACGTCGGTGTCATCGCACCCCACGCCCTTTCTCCTCTATTTTGGAACATTAAACCCTCATCGAGCAAATACCAGCACCACGACTGTGGATCTGATGTCCCCGACAGGTGCCGATGTTCCTGACAGGGAAAAGGGGCGATGTCCCCGATGGAAAGGCCGATTTCCCAGATGGCAAAGTGGGCGGGGTCATAACCGGCCAAGAACCGCTCAGGGGAGACTAAAGAGCGAATCAACTGAAAACTCCAACGATTAGAGATTTGAAAGGCTTATTAATCAGTTATAGAGGTTTTCCCCCAGACAAATTGTGCTCCCAGACATGGGAGGGAGAACCCTTGGCACCCCACCATTGATGCAAATCCTCTTTCCCCTTTAAAGCAAAGTCTGTGATTAACCAAACTAGCTTTAACCGAACACATTAAATACTATTAAGATGATAACCTTACATTTACATGCTATACTTTTTCAACTACTGAGGGCTTTTCCCCTCCCCTCTCACATCGTACCCCTCCTGGAATCCCACCATAGGCATACAAGTTCCTCCTTGGTCTCCTATAGATACCTGATATTAGATTCCTGGTTACGACAGCCTGCAAATTATGTAGGTATGCTTAGTGTATTTCCAAATCTATGAGAAATCATTAAAAATTGGAGCTTCACATAAATGACAATTGTTTTCCCCAAGAAGGATTAAAGAGGAGTTTTCGGATGTTAAGGAGGACACCAATACGCATCGATTGATACCAAAACAGCTTTTTTAACTATTTTTTTTCCGGTACATCAGTAAAACGACCAGCCTAATTGCATAATACTGTAGTGGTATCAGTTGTGGGGTATAAGATCAGGAGTTGCTTCCCGTCGGATATTATATCTTTACAACACAGAATTATGGTACTCTCGTTGCACACCCAAAAGCTAAAAATTTAGTCAAACATAACAGTCTTCTTAAGCATTTTGACCTCCTTAAACTAAAAAGATATTGTAATACTGGTTACACATTCGCGCCGCCTTGGTTAAGAGTTTCCTAACGCACCGTACCCGGCTGGTACTAATTAAAAGCACTGTACGTGAAAAAAGAAAAGATCTAGTGTAACCTTAATATACAATATTCGACCCTTTAATTTGCATTACATACCTAAATTGATATTCAAAATATTAGGACAAATGCCAATTATTGCATAATGTACAGCATAGTAAATAGTCAAAAGGAGGCATCTAAATGTGATTGACATATATAACTCATAGATAAATACTGCATTGTGGATAGGAAAGGCACGGTTGTCGGCAATACTTTTAAATCTGCCACTGATATGCTGTTAGTTTTTTCAGTCAAAAGATTTATACGTTTGCTTTATATTTCAGATAATAATCTCAACTAAATAAATTGCATTACAGTTCTAAATATTTTGGTGTTAATTTTAGATCGGGATCATATTATTGGACACTCAAGGAACACAGGACCCCAAAACCCCACAAAAGCAAAATGCTGCAGTGTTTGCACTTAGCACATTAATGAGTTCTGTACAGGTAGGTTTTAACTGTTTATTTGAAAATGAGGCAGGAATTTCAGAATCCTTAAAGAGGTTTATTTATTAACGTAATGAGAGCAGGGTCTAAAAAGAACTATGCAGGGTTTGCGATGCAAATATCAGTGACCAACGAACGAACATTTATTTATTGTTTACATTTAATTTTAAAATAGTCTTATTCTCCACATTAGCGACTTTATGCTGGTTTTGCGATCTAATTAGTAAATAGTATGCTCATTCCAGATATTCAAGGATCCATTTTCCGATATTGTCTTTTGGCCATATTGGAATTTTCAAAATGGCTGCCAAACTCTTAGTGAAATATCCATAATTGCTCTATTAGATTATATATTAACATTATTTATGTACCAAACTTTATGCAATCAATGTCAATCTGTCCAATTGCGATAATCTAGATGTGTATAAGAGACAGGTGCCGATGTTCCTGACAGGGAAAAGGGGCGATGTCCCCGATGGAAAGGCCGATTTCCCAGATGGCAAAGTGGGCGGGGTCATAACCGGCCAAGACGTAACTGCGCTAATATCCGTATACCCAACCATAGAACCAATTACTTCCAGCACAACATCAGATTTTCGGGCCCCAAACTTTGGAACTCGTTACCCTCATACTTGATAAATGCATCTTCCATTAAAAGTTTTACTAACCAATTCAAAAAACTCTTAACTTCTGACTACTAATTGTTAACATTTATTCAATCTCCTCCATCTCCACTTGGTTGCTACCATTCGTGCGGTCTGTCGGTCTGTCTTCGACTTGTTTTGAATGTATTGTTTTTTGTCGCTTTCTGTCCTGTTTTGTCTTTTTGTCTCTTTTGTTAATCTCATTTTTTTCCCCCTCTTATTTCAGGCTGTCCCTCCACAAGATTGGTTTTTCTTATCTTCTCGGGTTCTTGCCTTCTTCCTCTCCTGCATTTTCAATTTATTTTAAATCAATTGTAATATATTTGTCTGATTCAAAAAGGAAGTAAATAAATGTTAAATTGTTAAATTGAAAGTATATACCCGCAAAATGCATTGGAGGACCAACGACCCATCTCTTGTATAAGCTGCTCAAATGATGCCGCATTTGTCGCTGCACCAAATTTAAAGCTTTGACCTTTGTAAGGGGGGGGGGGATCAAACCCTATAACCTCTATGGTTGTCTGTATCTGTCTATAAATAAATTAGTGGGCCTTCCTTTTTGACCAAAAACTGGCAAGTACTTCATAAGAACTGAACAGAAAGTCTCACCGGACTGTGCTATGATCTTACGATCTTAATTATTACCTGTTGGTGACCCGTTAACGTTTTTGAATGAGACGTATAGGGATGGTCAATCCAGAAGTATTAACAATGACGTATTTTCGTAGTAATTTGCCATCTGTCCCAGGACGTGGGGCCAGTTCCCCAATTCTCATAAACGCCTTAAAGGCTAATAAAAGAAGGCGCGTAACACACTTGTTCAAATGAAAACTAGTGCAGTGACTATGCGTCGCAGAATTTTTATGGTGACTGGTAGGCGTACATCGGAAAAAGTTGATATAGAGTGAACACCGCGCAACGTTTTTCGAACCAGAAACGCGTCAGCGGGGTCGGGAAATGAGATGATTTTGTGTATGTATGACATGGCCAAATCATGTGATTAGATCATGCGTGGTTCAAGTCCTTTTTATAACAGTGAACCAATAAAGTTGCATAGTTAGGACTTGTTATTGGAATACAGTTTTTCTCTTGTGACCAGGTTTGGAGTAATTTCCAGCTATGTAAATATGCATTAATTGAGGTTTTTGTCGACTCCGCATCTAGTAGCCTAATATGCATGTTGCTCTGCGACAAATTATCATTCCGGAAAAAAAGCGTGCCATTTTGAGAACCTGCAATCAACGGATATTATATATAAATTAGGTACCGTAGCTGTCATTGGATTCAAAACATTGCATATTGCGCGTACTTTTGTAAACTCATAACCAGACAAGGCATCGGCTACCGTATTGTCTACACCTGCGATATGTTTGGCTTTAAAATATAGACCTATGTTGTTGCGCACACAGCACAGTACTAAACGCCACAAATGTAGAAAGGCGTCAAGTTACTAAGGCCATGTTTTCCAACCTGAACAAAACTCATTTTTCTTGAGGAGAAGGCCTAATAATTCTAGTGCTAAGACAATGGGAAGGAGTTCTTACTGCAATATCATAACTTTTTAAGTGTGCTAGCCAGCGTATTGCGAACCATTCGGAGCCGTAAACTCCAGCTCCGCCGACCGATTGGGCCGCGTCTGTATATAAATAGTTTCTGTGGAAGACCATACGATATACAAAATTAACGCTTTGTCATTGAATTGGTTGATAAATTCATACCAAATATGAATGTCGTCTTTTGCCTCTCTGGTCAAAGACCTGAATTCGGACATTGCCCGGCGTTTCTTAGGAAGGGTTGATTTTTTTTATGAACTTCTTGTAAACCAGCTGTCAAATTTATCAGCCGACGCAAAAATGGGCGTCCTGGGATGACCACACAGCATGCAAATAAGTAGTAACGACTGTATTTCCTTTAAGGTGAATTTCCTGCAGTCTAGAAACCAATTCAGTTTTTGTGCGGATTTTTGCTATGGCAACATACACTACATACCGATTGTATCAATCTCAGTACCATAGTCCTAGGAGTTATGTCTTATTGTCTTTAATTGGAACACCTAGGCATCTAAAAATAAAAAGAAATTTGATATGAGAATCTCTACACGGATTTGATCTCGGTTAACCAATAAACCAGAAATCATCTGTCAACAGTTTGAAATTTATTTAACCTATGGAGATGGATGGATGGATGGATGGATGGATGGATGGATGGACAATAAAGAACAATTACAAATCATTAACATATGTTTTTAAACTTGCATTTGAACAAATCAATATTAAAAGATATAATGAAATAATTTCGGATATCGGGAAGGAGGTTATTCCACAATCTCACAAATCTAGTTGGAATTGAAAATTTCGAAGAATCAGTTTTAGATTTTAAATGTTTAAATGTTAAAAGATCAGGATGACGATTATTAATAATTAATTTACAAGAAACTAAACTCGTGCAGGAGGAATAAAGTAAACGACAAATATTTAATATAGTAAAATAGTCAATTAATTGTCAAAAGACATTAATTTAAAAGTGTCTAGTCTTCCCACATAAGATTGTTCCTGGGATTTTTGCTGAAGAATATATCGAGTAGCCTTGCGTTGAATATTTTCAATTTGTGCTTTATGACCTACTCGATAAGGATACCAAACATGATTACAGTAATGGATATGTGGGAAGACTAGACACTTATACAATTTTAAAAGAATGGATGAAGAACACCCAAAAGCAATATAACGAATAAACCCCAAAATACGATAATATTTGGAAGTAACCTCATTAACTTGACGTCCCCAGGAAAGATTATAGGAAATAAATACCCCAATAATTTTAAGATGATCGGGATTCGACAAAACATGCCATTCAAGGACATACGAAGGACGTTTCCGATTCCACATACGTGTAAGACTAATAACGGAACATTTTTTTTTTATGGTTTAAAGCTAATAAATTAATTTTGGACCAATTCAAAATCTCATCAATATCTCTTTGTAAAAGCAATTGGTCTTCATCGGATCTAATGCATTTGGAAACAAAGGTATCGTCAGCATATTGGTAAGGCTTCGAGGTAAGATGCAAGTGAAGGTCATTATCGTAGATGTTAAATAACAAGGGTCCTAAGACGGACCCTTGAGGCACGCCAGACACAACATTTCACCAACCTGAACCCTCACCACTGAAGACGGTTCTTTGTTTACGTTCACAAATTAAGGAATAAATCCATTTTAGGAGTGCATATGTTCAAGCCATACTTTCGGATAAGACCATGCCTATTGCCACATACACGGCACGTCCTAGAGCCTAGGCCGTACTTTCTTGGGTGAGAATGCCAACTATTACTGATTTTAAAGAACAATAAGTATAAAACAATAGAAAGGATGTGCGGCCTAATTTGTTATGTAGTTAATTATTTTTTATTCCAGTCTATTACATCCGTACCCGGTAACGTGCTATCCACTCTAGCAATTTTTTAGTTTTTGATTTTAAGGTAGCGGAGACTGAATTTAATGGATTGGTTATTATAGGATCTGTTTTGTCCTTATCCTCCTCATCTCGTTTCTCGTCTGCTGTAGTTTGGTTGTGTTCTTTGTTCATACTTACAGGCTTAGCATTAGTAATGCGTTTCTTTCTCATTAAATATCTTGCCTGTCGAGTATATCATTTATTGACTTATCTAAACTAGTAGTGACTGTATTAATTTTCTGTCCGTTCATTACGGTTGCTATGATGCATCAAAGCGCTCGCCAATTCTTACAATTGAAATACAACCATCTTCTTAGCGTGTTCAATTATTTTAAAAGTAGACTTCCTAAGTTTTCTAAAATAGGTTTAAGTACAAGTGAAGACTTTCTCTTGTCGGCAATATTTCGCAAGTGTTGTTTGTACCGCATCATTTCTTCTTACGAGCTGTGGTAATGGGTACATTGCCTTTTAAAACATTTATTGCACACTCACAGATAGTCGTTACTAGCTCCTTGTCGGTATTCTCTAGGAGAGGTTTTCTCTGTTTAGGTGTACAATGAGCTAAAAACCGTAAGGTCTCAGCGTCTTTCTTTACACGTTTTGACATGATGTTGATGAACGTATGAATGAACCGAATTAGTTAAACAATGTTTACTTATATTTTTGGTACGTATGCAAAAATGATTACTTGTTGAAAATATATTTGTGCGAACTCTCATTTCTTCCGGTGTATATGGTTTAAGATCAATGAATAAATATCCGTATGATTTACGTGTTGCGTCATTGAACGCTACTTGTAAGAAACGCCCCTTACCCGGATACATTTGTTTGGATAGGTTCATTTTTTTTGTCTTTTCTCTAGCGTTTTTGAATAGCACAATATAGTGAGCGTTTAAAGTTATG